AGCTTCCCTGCTCGTGATTTGCCCTTTTCCGCTACCTTGGACATGTGTGCATTCCACGAGCAGTCTTTTGCGATCTCTACTCCAAGGTATGTGTACTGGTCCACTACTGCAATCTCCTCGATCCCCCACTTCCATCTATGTTCTACTGGTTCCTCCTTGTTCTCGTTGCATACCATGACGGCACTGGGGGGGGAGCTCGGAAAAGCGAGGAGGGTTGAACAGTCACAAGAGAATTTGCAGAGCGGTATATTCTTTAGGGACACATGGGTATGATTAAGTCTCCTTCTGCCTCTATCGTACCCCCCCCTCTGCCCTAAGATTTAGCTCAACGGTAGCCAGCCATGGTCACCTACTTCCTCGTTGCGACCAACAATTTTGGTCAAGGGACAACTGGAGCATGCATTGCGGTTTGTATCTACGCGTTGTGCACCATACGTCGACATATTGTGAAAGGTCGCAATCATTCAGCACTTCCATGATTGGTTGTTCTTCGTGTCGCGGTCGGATGTAATGTTGATCGTAAACTGATGGTATTATGTTCTCCTCTCTCTCTCTGCTCTCTTGCCGATTGGTGTACAGGTATCTCGTATTGTAGTTTTGAATATCCATTCGTTCGAAGTATTGGAAAAACATGGATAGGACGAGAACAACAGTCGTCTGCGAGGGACAAGAAGCGATTAACCAGATTGGTACGATTTATCTTTGTCCACGATCGCAGCAATTTGCGCAAAATGTGTATTGAGCCAGGGGTACGCAGCCGAGCAATTTACCCAGACCCATGGCGGGGGCTTCGAACCGGCAGAAAACCTAACGCTAACCCTCACCAGAACCCCAAACCCACACGAATATTGCTAGGTTGGCGCTGGGGGGATAAGTGTTTTAAGTAGGTGGTATGCCAGTATGTGCTAGGCTGGTGTTCATGGGGTGATTTCTAGGCGGGTGTACCCGCACATAGATAATAAGTTAGCGTTGATGAGATGAATCCTCATAGGTTGGTATGGCTTGGAAAGGTGCCAGGCTGCACCCACCTCCGTGCGTTGCGTTGACGGCTCGCGTTTCGTGTGAGTGCGAAAAAGGTCAATTTTGGTGCTTTTCCAAGAGATCAATGAAAATTCATCTTAAACCAAGCAATCAATGAAAACTTATCTTGTTCAACACTGATGATTTGATTTTCATTTCGACCTCACTCTGTCGTTTGCATGTCGGTAGATAGAAAGTCGTCTTCGCTTTGTTCGTGCGCCCTTGTTCGGCAGGGATGTTCCTTTCCCCGGTATGCATGTCGCGCCCCGGAAGTGTGTAGACCATAATCCCAGAACAAGCTGGAAGATAGTTTTGTCCGTCCACAAACAAGATCGTGCAAATGCAACTACAGGTAGAGCCCCCACTTGGAACGTCTAGTTTTGGCCGAAGCTAGTGTTCTTTAGTTCCCAGGGTTGTGCTGCAAGTCGCTTCTATGTAGGTTGTAGTGTAAGGTGTTCTTAACCGAGCTCACAAATGGTGCTCACGTTCCTATTCTTTGGGTTTTTCGAGGCTCAATTTCTTAACTGCTGACTGCTCTAGTCTAGTGCGGGCGCTAACCTTACCCGTCCATGCGTCTTTCGACAACGCACCTACAGTGAGGGCCCGCACTCAAGAAAGTCTAGTTTTGGCCGAAGCTAGTGTTCTTCCGTTCCTAGGGTTGTGCTGCAAATTGCCGCTATATAGGCATTAGTGAAAGGGGTTCTTAACCGAGCTCACAATTGGTGCTCAAGTTCCTGTTCTTCGGGTTTTTCGAGGCTCTAATTTCTTAACTGCCAACTGCTCTATTTTGTGCGGGCGCTCACTGTACTAGTCTAAGCGTCTTTCTACAACGCGCAGGTGGTTTACCGGAAGATCTTGCCTGGACTGGGCGTGACGCTTGTGTTCGGCAACACGTGAGTCGCGTGCACGAATGCATGAGGCAGTGGGAAAGCACGTGTGCGTGCCATGCCAATTATCCTGCACGTCGATTCTGACATCTTTCCGTACGTGTACATATGACCGTGTCAGCGGGGACTAAACGGCAAAAGGGTCACATCGAAGTGTTTTCCCGAACAACAGAAACGGTGATACGTGGCGTAGATCGTCGGTGTTGCGCAATGGATTTCGCAAATGGGAGGTCCACCTAAAGTTGGTGCTTCACTGCTGTAGCTCAAAAGTATGACAACAAGTTTGCGCACTGTATATGCATGAAACGATCAGCAGCAAGAGCACCAAAAGAAAAAATTCGCCGGCACAAAGGGATGTTGGGCAAGAGTCCTCTTTGCATCACGTCTGCCTCTTAACAGAATGTGGCGTCCTGCAGCAGCGGAGGTGGCGGTGCTGCTGTAGCTCGTAGACTTTGTAGTCTACCACAGAGGTTACACTGCTGTCACCGCTCTATCACAGAGGTTCGTCTACACTGCTGTGAGATCGGTAGGCCCGAGCGAGCTCTGGAAAGAGAAATGTAGATAGATTTTCTTATCAACTGACTCCCTGGTCAGGCTTTGATGGGTGCTAGATGAGAGTGAGCACAAGGGGCGAAGGCGCGCTTGTGTCTCATCTCAACAACAAAACAAAAACAAGAAACAAGCAGCAAAAACACAGCAGGTTCCGAGGGTCTCCGGAGTAATGGCCCGAGTACCGGAATTTCGGGGTTCGGAACAATAAAACAACTACAGTCTCGCCTG